GGGGCTGTGACGTGCCTGTTGTTTGGAGGGGAATTCGGGGTAGTGTGCCGGCATCGGGAAGTCCTTGTACTCTGTGGTGACGCGGCTGCTGATGATGTGCACATTGTCATATACCTGACGCGCACACACGCACACACCATCCTTACACACGTGTGTGTGTGTGTCATCATTGCGTTGCGGTACTGACCCCGTTCAGCCAGTTGCCACCGATGTCCTCATTCCCGTCCACTATGTCGAAAGGAATCCCGCGCCGCACCAACGCGGCCGCACACCCGAGCCCACCCAAACCTGCACACACCACACACCACACACAGAGATCACCACAGACACCACAAATGGCGACATCCCTGCCCTGTGTGTGAGAGAGGTACCTGCTCCAACGACGAGTATCTTGTCCTCCGTTTTCTCGACGCCGGCGGCCTTCTGCATCGCCGCCTTGTCTACACATGGCAGATCCACCAACAGACGCTCCGGGTGCAGCCACTGGCAGAACACATACCTGCCACACACAACAAAACAGACAGCAACCGCAGATCTGATCTGATCATCTCGCTGTCTGTCTTCATGCCGTCTTCTGGCAGTACCATGCGACTCCCAGCACGAGGGCCAATGCCGTCACGGCCAGGAGGGCGACGTGCAGCAAAGATGACGAGAGGATGGAGGTCAGGAGAGGCACTGCGGCAAGCATGACGGGAGTTATCCAGCGGAGGATGCAGCCAAGGCAAGCTCCGAACGCAGCTCCGAGGCAACACAGGCCCATCTAAACGGTCTCGGATTAGCTCGCAGATGGCTTGCGAGCTTGAGAAGGCGGTTTAGAGCACGGAAGTAAGCAACCCACGTCCTCTGTTTTCTGTTCTCTCGCAGACAGGACAATCAATCGTGATTGTCTCTGAAGCAATCAACGACATCCAATGATTCCATGACATCCCCTCCTCTCTAGAGTACGCAGGGAGGATAGGATGGACCGTCGCTCCCCGCCCCGTCGGCAAGGCAGCAAAGGCAGCAGCAGGGACGACACCCCGCCCCGGCGAGTCCACATAGACAGGCGGCCGGACGAGCCGCCGGCTCGGCGGCAGCATGACAGGGGGGACGGCGAGAGGCACAGAAGGGAAAGGTGGAAGAGCCGCAGCAGAAGCAGGGATAGAAGGTAGGGAAAAAGGGAGAAATGCATACAATGGAATGCATCCCATCAAGCGCACAAAGCACAAAGCATTAAGCACATCGCTCATCTGCTGTCTGTGTCTGTGTCTGTGTCTGTCAGTTCTCCGTCATCACGTCGGCGCGGCTCGTGGCCCCAGCCCCCTCCCCCGTCCCACCGGCCGACCCCCCGGGACCATCGTGACGGCCGTGATCTTCGCGACAATAGTGACATCCGGCGGGACGGCCCTCGGGATCGGGAGAGGGAGCGGGAGCGGGAGAGGGGCCATCGGGGGTTGTCCTTTTATGAGCAGGAGAGGCAGGACAGGGACAGGAAGCGCCGATCCAGAGAGAGGGAGAGGGAGAGGGAGAGGGACAGAGAGAGGGAGAGGGAGCGGGAGAGGGAGCGGGAGCGGGAGCATCTTCAGCATGAGAGGGGCCGGCGAGCGGACCGTTCTGACCACCCCCACTCACACCCCCACCCGCCCCGCTCACGCACCCCGCCACCTCTGCCAAACGGCAAATCGCCCTCCGCGGCACACAGGTACGCACATAACATACGCACGCACGTCTATCTTAGCATCCAATCCAAGTGTCCATTGTCTTGTCGGCCCGTTTGTCGACAGATCGGTGTATATGGCAGACAAGGGCGACCAGATCACCCCTGACGCCATCCAGCCAGAGGAGCAGGAACAGCCCCCCGAGCAGCGGCAGCAGCAGCAGCTCAACGGCACCGCCACTATGATTGACGAAGACGCCCAGGACCAAGACCAAGAGATGGCCCATGAGCAGGATCAGCAGCACCCAGACCACGAGCAGATGCCGATCAACAACCAGGGAGAGCCACCAGCTGCCGCTTATGAGGAGCCCTCGGCCCCACCAGCAGCAGCAGCAGCAGCAGAGGAGGAGGAGGAGCAGCAACCTGACGACCATCACTCCACCTCCGCAGCCGCACCCACTGCCCCACACACAAGTTCAGATGGCCATCCGCCGCCCCAATCACCGCCACCACCACCACCAGCAGCAGCAGCAGCAGCACAACACCAGCACGATGGCCATGTGCAAGAGCAGCTGCCTCCTTTGCTGTCGAGTCCGAATGGTTCTGGTGGCGGCGGTGTGTCGACTGTTGTGGCTGAGGTGCACTACGGCGGCAAGATGCGTCGGGTGCGTCACAGTGTGGAGAAGACCCTCACGGAGCTCATGGCCCTGTACGTGCGGCCGCTGCTGGGGGCGGCCGGCAGGGACACACCTCTGAGGGCCATACTGCTCTGCCGACCTGATGTGAGCACCCTCTCTCTCCTCCCTACTCACACACATAAGTCCATCTCTCTCTCTCTCTCTCTGTGTGTGTGTGTGTGTGTGGTTAGGAGGAGCAGGCCGAGTACTTCCCTCTGAGTGCGCTGCAGTGGGAGGATCTGGGCGGTGGTCTGGGGCAGGGGGTGCGAGTGCGGTTCGAGCAAGACCCTTGGGGCATCACCTGACACAGCTCCGAAGAGACGTGCATGCGGTGGGTGGGGGCCTGCTGTGTGCTCGTGTAAACGGTGTGTTTGTCGGTCAGCGAGCCTGCATTTTTGTGTGGGTGAGAGGTTTTTTCGCCGTGAATGCGTCGACCTGCCATCCCGTCGTATGTACCGATTCTCTGCTTGAGTATCAGCGGTCGACGTCGGTCTCACGCGATGGCTTCATTCGCGTGACGGCAGCGTTTGCCGCTGGCGCGCTGGCAGAGAATCGATCGACACGACGGGGCGGGGGAGGGGAGGTTGAGGGAGTGAGGCTGATGTGTACAGCGAGACGATGCCAATCGGGGACGAATGGATTGATGGAAACATCGTTGTTTGTCGTGTCTGTCATGACGGAGGATGGAGCATACATGCACACACACGCGCACGCACACAGTGGATGGATGGATGGATGGGCGTGTCGAGATTGTTGATGAGTCCACCGGACACGTGTCTTCATTCACGCACCACAAGACGCTCTCGCGTCACTTCGCATATCGTATCGTGTTCCCGCTCCCCACCACCACCCACCACCACCACCACCCCCTCACACACAACACGCATTTGTAAGAATAAACCCAGCGATTGAGCTGCTCCACTGCAACACTACTCTCTCTCTCGCCCTCTTTCTCCCCAACTGTGTGTGTGTGGGTGTCTGTCTCATTTTGTCAGTCTCTCTTGCGTGTAAGCCGTGCGTCCGTGTGTGGGTCTGATACACACGTACATTCACACCCACACGTACACGTGACTTCTGTCTGTGTTCAATTGTGTTGCTCATCGCGACACACGCCTTTGATGCGACCGCAGAGCAATACCACGGAGAAAGTGAATGGCCACACACACACACATACACACACACATGCGTGGGTGTCTAATTTGCAAAAACAGCAGAGACCGTGTTCGACTGTGCGTCGGCAGATAAAGTCGTCATCGGGCTATGCGGGCGGTCGGGCGGGCGGGCGGGCAAAGCTGCGAGTGTAGGTGTCCCTATCTGTCGCCGCCGCAGCCAGCCAGCCTGCCAGCCAGCCTGGAGAGCGATGCCCTCCACTGGAAAAGGTGCGCCCTCACACACACACACACACACACATGCACACATGCACACACACGGACACTGCGACGGACAAAGCCACACAGCCGGTGGCAGGAAGGAGCATGAGAGAGAGAGATCGATTTAAATACACACACAGCATAGCATCTCGTTCCAATAATAAAGGCCACCCACCATTCATGACATGCCGTCCACCCACCCCACATACCCCACACACCCACCCAGTTCCATCGGACAAATGTTATCGTTCCGTCAAAGGAGGGAGAGCGAGAGTGAGCCGCTGCAAACAGAGAGAGACAGAGAGAGAGAGAGACGCACAGAGAGGGGGCGAGAGGTGCAGCGCTATGGATAAGAGGGACAGTTCGAGAGGGACAGCTCGAGAGGGAGAGAAAGAGAGATGCAGCCAGCGTTATGTTACGTTGTTGGTCGGTCGTCTCACAGGCCCAACAGACAGACAAACGCGCAACAAACAAACATTCCTGCCCTTAACAGGCACGTCGCCCGCCGCCCACAGCTATCTAGCTATCTATCTGTCTACCTACCCCACCTACTGCGTCAATCAGAAACGGGGAAAAACGATATATTGAGTAGCATCGCGCCCCTCAGCCCCTCCGGTCATTAGACAGCACCACAGGCAGACAGACAGACAGACAGACAGAGAGAGGGTCCGGGGCGTCATGTGTGTCGATAGATACGTGCCGACACATCCACCGTGACCACCCACAGCAGCCTCTCGATCAGCGTCCGCCCGCCATGAGCCAACAGCACCCACACAGACATACAGACATACAGCCAGCTCAGTGAGCTCCCTCCCCCACACACGCGCAGCACCGGACCGACCAGAAACACCACATAGCATCGCACCCAACAAATACATACAGGAACACGCCCACACACATGAACACATGCACACATGCACACATATACACATACACATCAGCTACACACAAAATGGCAATCTCTGTCCTACAAGCCGACCTCTCTCTTGACAGCCTCGTATTCCTCCTCGAAGCACCGCAGCAGCAGGTGCGGGTCCGCCAGCACCGCAGGGTCGCTCATGACGGCGATCTGCAGCGTGTCGTTGGCGGAGAGCACCGACACACCCACCCCCATGCCGTAGCGGAAGGGCACGTGGAAGAAGACGCTCTTGACGCCACACACGACGGGCGAGAGGAAGAGGGGGGCAAGCTGGGGAGGGCCCGCCACGTTCGATATGGCGCAGGACACCTACAGACACACACAACACGGGCAGAGAGAAAGAGAGAGACAAGTGTGTGTCTGGGGGGGTGTGGGTGGG